CTTTTTTTAATATAAAAAACCACCAAGGCAAATTGCTGGTCCTGTCCATCATGGAATTGACAGCATCAGTGCGAGCAGGAGGGTGAGGACAGGAGRAGCCACCATTGCAGGAGAGAAGCCAAAAATGCTTTAACAGAAAGAAGATAATTAATTAAATAAAATGATATGTATTGTAATTAATTCACTGTTGAAGCAAGGATATGAAAAATTTCAACTCCCCCTGAATACTCTTGTTCTGGGGTAGACTCCTCCCTTATATCCTTTTTTTTTTAAACTGTTTATTTAATTTCCTTGCTTAAAGGTCCAGTGTGTCAGATTTAGGTAAGAGGGATCTACTGGCAGATATTGAATTAAAATAATCTTAGTGATGTTTTCACTAGTGTGTTTCATCTATATTGAACAAATTGTTGTTTTATTTACCCTAGAATGGGCCCTTTATATTTAAATACTTTGTATTAACATCTGGACTGTCATCTCTCCAGGAGGCTGCCATGTTTTTTTACAATAGCCCAAACTGGACAAACTAAACACCTTTTGAGTTTTTATGACAACTGAAGGCTTCCACAAGTTCTCCTCAATAATTGGAAGGGGAGGGTGAGGTAAGGTGAGGAGTATTCAGCTGCAACATGACACGTCACCACTAGATATCACTAAATTCTGCTCACTGAACCTTTAACTGACCCCGAGAGACCCATTTATGTAAGTTTTTGAGAAGTATCAAAGAAGCTTCACTGTTCAACAAGTGTAACATTTGTGAGTATATATGAATACCTTTTGTCATCGGTTGTTTTAGGAGGCATTGTTTTAGGATGCGTTGTTTTAGGAGGCATTGTTTTAGGAGGTGGTTGGGTGGGGGTGATCCTGTAAAAGACGTGATTGGAAAGGCATATTGCAAACAGCTTTCTTAACAACGTTTAAATGAGGAGTTAATTCGGTGCTAAAATGTACTCAATGTCCTACCGTGGTACACATGGGCCATTATCCAGATCTACGGAAGGCTGTGCAATCTTCACTGGTGCCAGCTCAGGACATGGCAAAGCACTTTTATTTATCAAGGGATTGAGATCTAGAAAAATAAAATATTTTTAGTA